GATGCTTGATTTCTGAAAGTCAGTTTGCATGCATGTGATAGCAGTGGAGTAGGGCGGTTAGTTGGTCACAGATATTGATGTAAATGATGTGGCTCAAATTTCCTGAGGTGAAAATGGGAGGCCTGTATGTCTGTTTCTCATGGGTGTCCCTGCACAAACTCTCCCATGGTGTCCCACTGTGGGCAAGGAACCAGCCATGTCCTCTCTGCTTGCCTATCTGTATTGCCTTTGCCCTCTGTCACTGCAGTACCTCCCAGTCCTAGTGCCCATCTCTTTAGGGCCTTTATGAGACTCAATAGAACTCTTTTAGGGTCTCCCTGTACTCCCTCCCAGTTGCACAACCTGCACATTCCCGTGGCCAATCCACGTCACTTGAAAGAAGTGTGCTACAAACTCTCCCACTATTTCCCCTTCTCTGTGCCCCATTTGGGATGCTGCCCAGTCCCATCCCAAAATGGCTACATGGAATAAGTCCTCCAGATGTTTATGGGTAGGTTCTTGTGTTAGCCCAGGTAGGCTAGAGAAACAAATCCATAGAAACTCATAGGTGTATAAGAGAGAGTTTTATATAAAGGGTAATTTGTACATTAAGAAAGCATCCCAACCCAGTCCAGTCCAAGCCCATAAGTCCGATATTAGCCCATATGTCCGGTACCACTCTATAAAGTCCTCTTCAGACTCACGAAACACATACAATGACGCTGAATGCAGGACGATCACAGGCCACTTAGTAGAAAATCTTTGGATCCCTTGGCGTAAGCTCTCAGTGCTGGCAGGAGTCTCCACGTGACTTCTCCAGGTCCAGGGTTCTGGCTGCATCAGGGTAGGCCCATGTGGCTTCTCCTCAGAGATGTCTCATAGGGAGTACACCTTATCAGTAGAGGGTCTCCAAGGAAGTCAATTAGTGTGAGAAAGTGTCTCCTACCTCCAAGGAGGAAATGCCGGATTTCCTAGAATTCTCATTGAGAAGGCCATGCCCACACAGAGACCTTATTGGCTATACAATAATTGACAGGCTAGACTCCACCCCTTCACTCCCAATCCTCAAATTGACCCTAGAGTATGTAACTACCACAGTTCTTCCAGCTCGTGCCATCCAGACTCCTCCCCTGATTCCGGACTCACCATGATTCTCTCACATCTAAGCTTCTGTCTTGAGGTCCAAGATTTCAGTCTGTGCCTGTTTTTCTTTGTCGTTCAGTGAGTGAGTTACTGAGGGAGTATGGGGCGTCCATTCACTTTGCTCTGCCATCAGCAAGCAGGCCATCAGAGGTTAAGGACGCTGGCACCCAGTGACCAAGATTCAATACAGACCAGCCTCTCTGAGCTTTAAGGTGTAAAATGGGGATAAAGAATAATTCCTATTCTGTAAGATTGCTACAAAAAAATTAATTCCACCATCATCAAGTCAATTCAGACTCATATCACCCTTTTTAGTGTTTCTGAGGCTATACATCTTTGTGGGAATAGATAACCTCGTTTTTTTCTTGCAGAGCAGCTAGTGGGTTTGAACTGCTGTCCTGTGGTTAGCAGTCCAATGATTATCTGTCATGCTTAATTTGATGTATAATGTGCACTTCATAAATACTATATATGATCACCATTGTCTGGGACCCTCTCAGACAGTTCCAGGCAAAGACCTTCCCTTTGTCCATCTCCGAATTGTAGCTTGTGACTCTCCTGAGAAAGTGAACCTGGTCAGGCTGAGTAGCAACTTGGCCTAATTATCTACATCAGTATTTCTCAGTCAGGGTCCCCAAACCGCTTACATCTAGGCCCCAAGCAGAGCATTTCAAGAATGCAGATTTCTGGGCTCAAACTCAGGCTAGTTGGATCAGAAACCCCTGGAAGTGGGGCCCTGGAATCTGCCTTTTTAGTATGCATCTGTAGCTTGAGGCTTCTGCATAGTGAAGTTTGACACTCAATGGTTTATAGAATTCAATCCAAAGACCATTTTATTGTTGAGGAGAGGGAAGTGATAGGGGGTTACTTTCATTTCAGGATGATAGAATCTATTCATTTTGCTAGGGCTCAGTACTGGTTGGATTATTTTGGGAGACTTGAGTCAGAAATAGACTCAAGTCCACAGGGTGACTGGCTCAGCTAGGACCTTTTGGCCTGAGAACCACAAGGAGCTTCTCACCTGATCTCTTCCTGCAATGTCTGGGGACACAGGTCCAAGAGCTAAAGTGACACGTTCCAGGCCCACAGCAATGAGATCTTCAGTTGAACCATAATTCTTCAATTGAACCAACTCATTAGAGACAGCATCAGCTCTCTACGTGTTTTCTTTGGTTTGGGGGCTATCAAACAAAGCCCCTATGCCAGTCTGTATGGGTGCTGTGTAGACACATATACATCGTAGCCTCACTTCCTGGGATAACAGAGAGGGCTATCAGCCATGTGGCCCAGCTCTGAGTGAGCGCTCTACATTTAGCTGCTGTTGGGGAGGGCAGCTAATGGAAAAGTCCTGGTTCAAATCCATTTAAATAAAACCAGTTATTCATGGAAGAAAGCGGACAGAGTCTGCTCACATAAAGATTTACAGCCTTAGAAACCATAGGGGGCAGTGCTGGTCTGTTCTCTAGAGTCACTAGAGTTGGACTCGATCTGGTGGCTGTGGGTTTGGTTCGGGGTTGGTGGTTCTGCAGAAGGAGCCTGCCTAGCTGCTAGGGGAGAGGAGGTTGGAGAACCTAGCTTATTCTTTCTAGCGCTGCTCAGGCAATGCATGTGTTGCAAATACTCTTGGGAGGAAGAGAGTCTGGTAAAAGTTGTTACCATTTAAATTATTCATTTTTAAACTATTTAGCCAAAAAAAAGTCTGGCGATACACCAAACCAACTTCAGCCTTCTTGTAAAGTCAAGAACAGAAGTCAATTTTACTACAGCCAAGCATTGAAAGCTACTTGCTTCCTGCATCAGAATTTACATTCTGGCAGCAATTTTGGAAAATGTGGGGGAAGAGAATTAAATTGCAGATTTGCCAAGTTTATAGCGGCCTGGATCATGAATAGGAATAACATTTCACAGGAGAGCTTCTTGTGTCTGAGGCATAGGTTTCTGGGGAGCCTGTGCCTGGCACAATGAGCCCCTCAAACCAGGGAAGGAATGACTTCATTCTGGGATGTTCTGGAGTCTCCAAGGGGGTTGATGTGAGGGCCAGGCCCGGCAGGCGGTCCCGTGGCTTCTAATCCTGGCCGGTCTGCTGAGTAACTGTGGTCACCACTAAGCAGTCAGATGTGCACCCTCAAACCCAACACCCTGAACTTGGGAACACCTGGGGTGTGAGGCTGGCTCAGTCTTCCTCCTGCCAGGCCTGGAGTGAGTTGAGTGAGCTCCCTCACCCCTCCCGTGGAGGCACTGCTCGGTTCTGCTGTGACAACCCCCTCCCCGATGGGTCTGGATTTGAGCTGGACTTTCTCGGGCTCCTCAGAGCAGCATGCCAGCAGCATCTCAGAGCCGTCATTAGCGGTCACCCTTCCACCCAGGCGCTGGGGCTCCAGGCATCTCTGCCTTCCCCCAAGCTGCAGCCATGGCATCAGGCAGACAGCATCACCACCATGGGCAGGAGAAGGGACACAATGGCTGTTGTGTTCTTGCCCCGCTCTCCGTGTACCTGCTCTCTAGAGACAGTAAGGTGCAGAGGTTAAGTCCGTGGGCTCTGGGGTCACTGGGAGCCCACGTATACCCTGCTCTTTATGATCCTCGTTTTCTTATCTATAAAGCGGGACACAGTGGTGCGCACAGTTAATGTGAAGGACGAATGAGAAAACAGGGCAAGTGTCTCCCCAGTGACATGATTCAGTGCTCAAAGCCCTACCCAAGGTTCCGTATCAACTAGAACATTGTACGTACAAAACCAGATTCACTGCCATTAAGTCATTTCCAACTCATTGTGACCCTGAAGGACAGGATAGAACGGCCCTTGTGAGTTTCCAAAATCTTTTGGTCAGCAGTCCAACAACGCATAATCACTATGCCAGCAAGGCACTCCCCCCCAACCCCACCTTCTGAAAAGTGCGTATGGGGGGAGGGAAATTTCATCATGTTTTTATTCTATCTCTACATGAAAAAACGTTGAAGCTCCCTCATTTTTTTTCCTCTAGGGGAAACCTCTCACGTCCATTTTTATGAATGCTCTTTTCCATTTTGCCTCGGCGTTATTTTCACCTCCATCATTTATAGTTTTACACATGGCTGACAGCCCATCCTTGGGGAATAGAGTCTAGATTCTTCCAAGGCTCAGGAGAGGAATGAACCGGCACTAGAAAGGCGTATCTGACGTCAGATAATGGGTACCATTGTGCCGGAAGAGCAGAATCGACTCCCTTTTGCTAACCCGCAGTTGCTGCGCAGGAATTGGTTACGTGGCTCCCAGTGGGGTGAGAGGGGGCGGATGGCAGACAGAGAGGATGGGTACCGCGGATACACAGATCAGAGCCTGACGTCAAGGCTATCGTAAGTTGATGGTGGCCAGCTGACGTTTAGCCACAAAAGGCACTTCTCTGATTGGAAGGTAAACCGGCCAAGGCGGCGGGAGAAAGGTCCCGCCTTTTTTTTTTACAGGAACAGGTGCTTTTATTTTATCTGCTATTTATACAAATACAGTCAGCCATGGTACAATTTAAACTCAGAGACGTGACCTGGACCCAGAGACTGCTCTGCGTCGAAATGGGAAAGAGATGGTCGTTCTCCTCTGGGTCCCTTGCTTATGGTTCAAATGAAGGCTTCAGTTCAAGTTCAAATGGTGCCTTCGCTGGGTCCACAAGCTCCTCGTTCTTGGGAAAGCTGAGATCACAGGCGTGGCGGGGATGGGAAGGCAGCCCGGACGGGAATGAGGGCTTTCCACTCCCACCTTAGGGCATTTTGGATAGAGGAAAACCAGGTCTAGCCCATGTCCCCAGCTACGCAACCGCTGTCCCCACGGAGCTGCTAGCTTCCCAGGGGAGCCTCCAGGGGCCGGGAGCCCGGGACTCGAGCGCGTGCTCTCTGGCTTGCAGACGATGACCACTGGATCGTGGACACGGACTACGACACGTACGCCGTGCAGTACTCCTGCCGCCTCCTCAACCTCGACGGCACCTGCGCGGACAGCTACTCCTTCGTGTTCGCGCGCGACCCCCACGGGCTGCCCCCGGAAGTGCAGCGCACCGTGCGGCAGCTGCAGGAGGAGCTGTGCCTGGGCCGCAAGTACCGGCTGATCGTGCACAACGGTGAGCCGGGCGGACGGGCGGCGCGGGCGCCTGGGGTGCCCTGGCCTGCGGGGTCGCAGGCGGATGTGGCGGAGGGAGACAAAGGCCTTGTCAGACGTACCGTGTTTGACCCGGGTGCCGGCGGACGGCGGAGGCCGCCCGATGGACAGGCGGCCGGCCACCTGCTAGTCGGCTTCCACGCCGGCCCGCGGTGCCCTCGGTGGGCATCCCTGGGCCACGTCCTGCCAGGGCCCGCGGTGTCCGCGCAGCCGCCTTTCGGAATCCTGGGAACATTGCCCCCGCCCCCTCCGGGCCCTGCCGCCCCCCCTGCCCCGCTGGCTCGGACGTGGTGGTGGGAGGCGCGCTCGGGGCGGCCTTGCCGGTGCCCGCGGCCCCCTGTCTGGGAGGGCCCGCCAGCTGCCCGCTGGTTTCGATGACTTTGACAACACTGGCACTTTGGTTGATGGAAAACTGCAGGGGCCACTCTGCTTTTTATTCTAGTCTATTTTTTATCAACACCCCCGCCCCCCCAAACACACCCACAGCCGTGATGATCAAAGTCTGCCGGTGGCCGCAGGAGCCCACCATGGAGACGGAACTGAAGGTTCCGGTTTCCCCGAAGGATCCCTTGGAAGAAAGGGCTGGCGGGCTGGCGGGCAACCAGCCCTTGACAACCCGACTGAGTGGCTCGGGCACCGCCAGTCGACCTGGACATGCTGGTCCTTGGTCAGCAGCAAGACAAAGCTGGCTGCTGAGCTAAAACCTAAAACTGAAAACAACCGCAAAACAATTAAATAGACATCGCCGCAAAGCGAGTTCAGAAAAGGATTTCAACAAACTTCCCTTTTCTCTGTAAACCCAAATCACCACTTTCTCTTCTCAGTCAATCGACTTGCTGGTTCTTCTCACTTACCTTTTTTTGAGGTTGCTATGAGTCACAAGTCTCCTCTCCTCCCACCCACACTCTGGTGTTTTTTTGGTATTTTATTGTTATGTAATAACAGTATCTTTTAAATAGATATTAGGCTAGTCTCTTGATTTTAAAATCAGGGGAATAAAACTATGGAGACAGCTACATAGCCTATTTTGAATTAACACTCACTCCTATGGGAAACTGGATTTCAAAATGCCATCACAGGAAATGCTAAACGTGGACAGAGAGAGTGATCAAAAGAACTAATCTGAACTGTTCAGTCGGCCATCTAACCAGCTGACTCGCACTATGGGAAACATAACAGTAAAATGAACCGCACTGAAGTTTTAAAATAGAAATACGATGCTGATGCTTCATGTTTGGGACAGATTGGAAGGGGCGGGTAGGGGGGAGGGGTGGGTAGCTTTCCCTGTGCTGTTCTCAGAAACCTCCCTGAAGTGCGTGTATGGTCCACATTCGTATTACCCACATCCTCAGGGGAGAAAACAAGAAACTAAGAAAGATAGAGTTGGCCAAGATCTTCAGAAGGTAGCTGAGTTGGGTACAGACCCAATTCTCTGCCTGACAGTGGCTCTGCCTGGTGACACATGACATGGACACCCAGTCAAACCAGCAGCCATACAGCTGAGGTCAGGCCAACATGGCCCCTCACTTCCAGAAACAGGAGAAGATGCCTTCCCTTGAGATACCATGAGGCAAAATTAAGACAGATATTTCCGTCAGACACTAGATCTGTCATAGAGCAGACTCTATTCTCTTTGACTCAACTGCCACCCAAGAAATTCAAAAGATGGCCGTCAGCAGTAAGACCCCATCTTCTGGAGATGGGCTCCCTGTGACCTCATGGGAAGCATTTGCATGAAGCTGAGCTCCAAGGGCATTGTGATCCTCATGATCTTCACTAAGCTCTGACATGAATGGCATTAACGACCTTCTCTCCTATATTCCAGGTTACTGTGATGGCAGATCAGAAAGAAACGCTTTGTAGCCACATCTCGGATAGAAAGCTCCATTGGAAAACGTCCCGTCGTCAACTCTAATCTGATCTTCAATTACCTCTATTTATCTTCAGAGCTTAGTGTGCCCCTCACCCCCCTCACTTTCCCTCAGGAACTAGGAGCCCTCAGGAAACACAGCAGAATATTCATAGGGATATGTTTGCAGTCCAATGGGTACCTTTACTGGGGTTTTTTGAAAAAGGAATCGGAGGCCTAGGATTCTCGCCTTTGATTTATTAAAAGAGTCACACGTTTCCTATGACTTGTGTGGTTATTTGTGTCTTCCATCTGCATCACGCTAAGAAGCCCTCCAAGGTGAGAAATCTTACGAATGGTCAAAGGAAGGCGCCCCTTTAAATATAAGTAGGACGTTCTTCCTGGCCTTTGGCTTATTGTAGCATCTAAGCCACATTATTAATGACTGTGGTTTCTCCCAACTTCCTCAAAGAGGGCTTTCCCCCACTGACTAGGAAGGCCCTAACCACCAGCTTGGACAAGGCGCGGAGACCCAAAGAGGAAGCGAATGCAGGTCACGCTGTGGATGAGGGGGTCTGGACTTTGTTGCATCCACCCCCTCCACTGGGTTTTTGGAGAAAAATGAAGACAAGCGACATGACAGTCGAGTTCGAGTGCCCCAGCACCTCATTGTTTCTAGCACTTCATTCACCGTTTCTTTAGTGGTTGAAGGGAGAGAGACCTCCAGCTTCCCTGGGGGAAAGAAGAGGTGGACCCTGGGAGCCAGGTCTGCAGGAAAGATCACCTGTGCCCCCTCTGTCGAGAGTGAGCAGGAAAGGCACAGGGAGGGGTGAAAGGAGCCTGGACTGGGCCAGGACATTACTGACCCATGCCATCTTCAGCACCTGTGAATACTGTGAGTCAGAATTGACTGCGCGGCAGTAAGTGACTGTGAGGGAACGCAAGAAGGTCCCCCGTGGTACAAACAGCTTGTGCTGACTGCTAACCTCAAGGCTTGGAGCCACCTGACGGCCCCCGCCATTTGCTTTCACAAGCATGACAGCCAAGAGAATCGGATTCTGTGACTCAAAAGCAGTGGGTTTGCTGCTGCTCTTTTGTGAGCACTAAGATATAACTCCATGCAAAGCTACTGGCCTCAGTTTCCCAGAAGTCCCCAGGAGCCTCAGTTTCTCGTCATGAGAAGGAAGCAACCTTTGGCACCCGTGAGTCAAATATCTACCATGAAAGTGTTGACACATTGTGAAAAATGTACGCGGGCCACGAAATACTTTATGTAGAAATTGTTAAAGGAGAGCCTAATTTACTGTGCCGACTTTCACCACAGCTAAGATAATTACTTGAGAAGATATATATGTGCGTGTGTGTATCTACAGCAAAGATATATATAAGCTGTGAGATTTGGGTTTGGTTACATGGCTTCTCTGAGCCTCATTTCTGCAGTGTGAGGAACTAGTACCTGTCTGGGGCATGCAGTGAGGATTCCATTAGCAGGGTCTATTGCAACACAGGAGCTGTGCACACTGACATCTTATGAGGTGTGTCGGCAGCACCTCTCTTCCGTGTACGCAGAGACATAAACTGCCTAGGGTGCTGAATCCCTGTGATGGTTAATACTCTGTGCCAACTCAGCTAGACTTTGGTTCTCAGTGGTTTGGCATGTGCTTTTCCATATAGCCACCTCCATTTTGTGATCAAAGGGGACTAGGCAACCACACAGGGGATGGGGATGTGGCCCACCTCCCGTATATAAATGGGTGTTGTGGCAAAGATTGCTCCCTCTTTTTAAACCCTCCACTCTCTGATCACCTGACCTCTGATTCTTGGGTTGGGATGTAAGTCTATCCACCTTGTCTCTTGGATCTGCTGATTTTGGATTTGGCAACCTGAACCAGCAGAGGTCTCCAGTTTGCCGCCCAACCCTACTGATCTTGAAACCATCAGCCCCTAAAACCACATGAGCTAGCAGAAGCCTTCTGCCTGCCACTTATCCCACAGATTTTGGAGTTACCAGCCCGCCCCCCTAAATTGTGTGACCCATTTCTTTGAAATACCTTTGTAGATAAACTCATGAGTGAGTCAAGAAGAATTGTTATGAGAGCGGCTGTTCATACAAGGGTTTATTTCACACAGAACATGTCTCAATAGACCTCGACAATCAACGGATGGCCACAGACAAGTTCTCCTCATAATATACTCATGAGGATGCCTTCAAAAAAAAAAAAAAAAAGGTCTAATCAAAAAGTGGCTCCCCAGGGGATCATGGTCAGTTGAGTCAGTTAAATTCAAGGCGAAGAGGTCAGCCCTGAAGGCTATGATGACTGTCTCTGGGATTGCAAAAGAGTGACCTTAGTGGCTTCTCTCGAGGGATACAGGACCATCATGGAGGCTGTGATAGTTAGGTTTTATGTCAACTAGGATGCGCCAGGATTCTCCCATGAGATGATCTAACAGTGTGTTCACGATGGGGAATTCTCTGAAGCAGCCAACAGCTGTGAAGAGAAGGCTGTTGTTGTGTGTCATTAAGTCAGTGCTGACGCACAGAGACCCTGTGTACAACGGAACAGACCACCGCCATGTCCTGTGCCCTCCTCACGATGGTTCTTCTGTTTGAGCCCATTGTTGCCGTCACTGGGTCAATCCACCTCATTGAGGGTCTTCCTCTTTTTCACTGCTCCTCCACTTTGCCAGGCATGATGTCCTTCTCCAGGGACTGGTCTCTCCTGACAACTTGTCCAAAATAAGTGAGAAAAGTCACGCCATTCCTGCCTCTAAGGAGCATTCTGGCTGTACTTCTTCCAAGACAGATTCACTTATTTGTTTGGTAGTCGATGGTACTTTCAGTATTCTTCTCCAGCACCGTCATTCAACGGTATCGATTTTTCTTCAGTCTTCCTTATTCAATGTCCAACTTTCAGATGGATAAGAGGTGATTGAAAATACTGTGGCTTTCAGTCAGGGTGCGATGTAACAATGATGAGAAATACAACCTTCCTCTAGTTCCTAAAGGTTTCCTCCCCGCTCCCACTACCATGACTCGAATTCTATCTTGCAAGACTGGCTAGACCAGAGGAGGTACACTGGTACAGATAGGAACTGAAAATACAGGGAATCCAGGATGGATGAGCCCTATAGGACCAGTGGTGTGAGTGGCAAAACAGGGAGGGTAAAGGGAGAATGGGTAGGAAAGAGGGAACCGATTACATGGAACTGTGTGTGACCTCCTCCCTGGGGGACAGACAACCGAAAAGTGGGTGAAGGGAGAAGTCGGACAGGGCAAGATATGACAAAATACCCATTTATAAACTATCAAGGGCTCATGTGGGAGAGGGGAGCGGGGAGGGAGGGGGAAAATGAGGACCTAATGTCGGGGGTTTAAATGGAGAGAAAATGTTTTGAGAAATGATGTACAAATACGCTTTACACAATTGATGTGTGTATGGATTGGGATAACAGTTGTATGAGCCCCTAATAAAATGTTTAAAAAAAAAAAAGAAAATACTGTGGCTTGTGTCAGGCACACCTTAGTCCTCAAAGTAACATCTTGCTTTTACAAATTTTAAAGAGGTCTCTTTTGCAGCAGAATAAAAAGCCCAAAACTCATTGCTCTCAAGTCATTTCTGATTGGTAGTGACCTCATATGGCAGGGTAGAACTGCCCCTGTGGATTTCCACGACTATAACTCTTTAGAGGAGTAGAAAGTGTCATGTTTCTCCTACAGAGTGGCTGGTGGTTTTGAACTGCTGACTTTGTGGTTATCAGTCCGATGTGTAAACCACGATGTCACCAGGGCTCCTTCCAAAAACTAAATAAAACCATCAAGTTGATGCCAACTCATAGACCCCATAGAACAGTATAGAACTGATCTTGTGAGTTTCTGAGACAGTTATTCTTTTTTAAAAATCATTTTATTGGGGGTTCTTACAGCTCTTATTACAATTCATACATCCATCCATTGTGTCAAGCACATTTGTACATTTTTTGCCATCATCATTTTCAAAACATTTTCTTTCTACTTGAGCCCTTGGTATCAGCTCATTTTTCCCTCCTCCCCCGCCCACCTTCCCTCATTAGCCCTTGATAATTTATAAATTATTACTTTTTCATGTCTTACACCAACTGCTGTCTCCCTTCACCCACTTTTCTGTTATCTGTTCCCCTGGGAGGTGGTTATATGTCGATCATTGTGATCAGTTCCCCCTTTCTCCCCACACCTTACCCGTACCCTCCTGGTATGGTATTGCTACTGTCATTATTGGTCCTGAGGGATTAATCTGCCTTGGATTCCATGTGTTTGGAGCTCTTATCTGTTCCAGTGTACATGCTCTGATCTAGCTGGATTTGTAAGTTAGAATTGGGGTCCTGATAGTGGGGTGGTGGGGTGGTGGAGAAGCATTACAGAACTAGAGGAAAGTTGTGTGTTTCGTCAGTGCTACACTGCACCTTTAGTGGCTTGTCTCTTCCTTGTGACCCTTCTGTAAGGGCCCAATTGTCTACAGATGGGCTTTGGGTCTCCACTGTGCCCTTCCCCTCATTCACATTAATATGTTTTTTTTTTTTCTGGGTCTTTGATGCCTGATACCTGATCCCATGTGACACCTCATGATCACACAGGCTGGTGTGCTTCTTCCATGTGGGCTTTGTTGCTTCTCAGCTAGATGGCCGCTTATTTATCTTCAAATCTTTAAGACCCCAGATGCTATATCTTTTGATAGAGGAGTACCATCAGCTTTCTTCACCACATTTGCTTATGCACCCATTTTGTCTTCAGCAATCATGTCAGGGAAGGTGAGCATCACAGAATGCCAGGCAAATAGAACAAAGTGTTCTTGCATTGAGGGAGTACTTGAGTGGAGGCCCAATGTCCATCTGCTACCTTAATACTTAACATATAATATATAGACATAGATCTATTTCCCTATTGTTATATATAAATGTATTTGCATATGTACATGCCTGTATTTAGACCTCTATAAATGCCCTTTGCCTCCTAGTTCTTTCATCTAGTTCCTTTTCCTTTCCTCTGGTCTCACTATCATGTTTGACCTTAATTCGGGCTTTGGTAATTCCTCTTGGCTATGTTGCCCCTGATCAAGCCCCACCAGATATCCCATGCTCTCTTTGCCATCAATTTTAGATCACTTTTTGTTTCCTTGTCTCTGAGCTTGTTGGCACCGCTCTTCCTTTCCCCCGCCTCCCCCTCTCCAGTGTCACTCCGGAACCATTGGTCCGTTGTTTTCTCCTCCAGATTGTTTACCCCACCTATCCTATCTAGATAGACCTCCAGAGACAATAATAAGCACAAAAACAAGACAAAGCAAAACATAACAACAAAAGAAAACCAACCAAGAACAACAAAAAACCAACAGCAAGAAAAGAAAAACCTATAAATAGTTCCAGGTCTGTCTGTTGACCTTTATGAGTATTTTCCAGTTGAGTCCGATGGGGTGCCACACCCTGGTCCCAAAGTCTATTTTTGGAATTCCTCGGGGACTTCATTGCTCTGCTTCCCTTGCTCCTCTGTTGCACGCCGTTAGTGTTTCGCCCCAGTGTGTTGGGGTCAGAAGGGGCACAGTTCCTGCCAGAATGGGCACAGTTCCTGCCACACTGTGTCTCCAGTGTTGTCCCTGGTAGCACTGTGGGTCAGTGAGGGACATCGCGTCTTGTGGTGAGGCCGGCCCCAGGGTCTTCTCTGTGCGTGCATTGGCTGCTCCAAGCTGGAATATCCTCCTCGGGGCTTGGTGGGCCAGGATGTGTTCCCCTCCCTCTCCTTCCCTCTTCGATTGCTCCTGATCAGAAGTACCCCTCTCCCTGAGCTGCAGCTTCAATGCGGTCCTCTGAAGTGCATTCTTGGGGTGTGGGGGGAGAGACTGTAATTCTTGATGGGAGTAGAAAGGCCCTTTTTCCCAAGGAGCAGCTGGTGGATTCAAACTTTGGACCTTGTGGTTAGCAGCCCCATGTGTTACCACTACACCACCAGAGCTCCTCTAGGGCCCTTTAGACATCCTTCCTCTGGTCATAGCCTTGATAAGTTGAGGATTTTTTCAGGGTGTGGTTTCTCTTTTCTTTCCCTTCTCCCCCCTCCTTCATGAATATTCAATAAAACCATAGGTCTGTAAATACCATCTGACTCCCACCACTACATCTCTAGGCAAAAGCCCCACATGCCTACACTCAACTTTTTACTATTGATTTGGCCATCTCAAGGGGACATCCTACTTCTGGGTCCCACATGAGCTGCTCAGCCTTCCTACCCTTGTTCCTCTCCCACTTTACCCCACTGCACACCTACACCATCCAGCAAATGTCTGGCTACCAGGTTGGGACCCGTCCTCAAATCCTCTTCTTCCCTCGCATTGTAAGTCCTCTCCATCTGCAAACCATGTCTGTTCCACCTTCTCAAAGTATATCCCAGCCAATCACAATCCCTCACTGATACCAGCCACCTCCAAGTTTCCCATCATCTTTTTCTGCCTCTGCAACTGCCTTACTGGTCTCCATTTTCACTCTTTGCTCCTCGCAGCTCATTCTCGGCATGGCAGCCCAAGTAATATTTAAAACCAAATATCCCATCGCACCAGACTCCAATGGCAAACATGTAGCGATTGCCTCTTCTATAGGATAAACTCCCTACGGTGTTCTCCAAGCCCCTCTGTGTAACTCTCTAGAACTTCTGCAGCCCTCTAACTTCAAGCGTCTCAGTTAATGGGCTCCAGCAGGCCCCCCTCGGTTCCATGCCTCATGGCGAGCTTGCTCAGTCAAGAGTTTGCTGTACTCTGGCTGCACCATTCTTCTTCCTGTTCCCCAAGCACACCAACCTCTGCACCAGTGTGTCTTCTGCCTACAAAGCTCCCTCAGATTCAGATGGTTAACTGACTCTCTTGTTCACATCTCAAATCTAATGATGTCTCAGAAAGGTCACTTTAGACCCCATCTCCCCATCTGAACAGTCGTCACCACCATAACACTCCCTCCTGTATACTTCGTGGTACTTATCCATTCTATGATGCTAGATTATTTGTGGGCTTACACTCAGTAGTTCTCTCCCTACTAGAAAGCAAGCTCCCTGCGGGCACCATCCGTGGCTGGCTGGTTCCTGTACTTCCAGCACCACGGACAGTGCCTGGCCTTAGCAAGGATTTCATCACTATCTGGGGGATGAATCAATGAAGGCTCACCCTACTCTCCCTCTCCCATGTTTTGAAGGCATTCAACCTCTCTCATTTCTTGAACCATTTTCCCCTAAAAGTTTTCAGGGCTCCCCTTTTTAGTATTAAAAAAAGCCATCACCTTTAATTTTTCCTTAGAAATACCTCAAGCACTCTGGACATCCATAAATAAAAGAGGAAGCCTTCCAGTGTGGCTGTTAGCCCTTCAGATGAGAAATTTAGGGAGGGGACAGTTCCAAGCATGAGAAATCAAGAAGGCTTTATATGTAGGAGATGTGATGGCCAGACAGTTAGGAAATAGAAATTTATTTAAGTTAATTAATTATTATTACAAACACCCTGAAAAAAAAAAGTTCATATTGAAAAAAGGAACCCAGAGCAAATCCTTTTTAGAGGAAAGGTAATGTTGAACGACCGATCATCCCCTCATTTCTCATGCTGTACACGGGCATTTGCCTAAGTGATGTTTTCTTAAAGCAGAATACGCTTGCACAGTAGTCCTGGAAATCGGCTCCATTGGAAAACATCCTGGGGCTCACCACATAGTGAGAAGCGTGGACTAAGGAAGAAGCAAACGAATTAGTTGGAAATAATCGATAAATCATTTCTCCGTACAGATGTGTCTGTGAAAATGTCTCCCTTTTCTGGGAACAAGAAGCAGCAGATGACCTTCCTCCATTCGTTCCTGAACAGGGACATGTTGTAGAGAATGGGGTTGAGGGCAGAATTGGCGAACGTGAAGGCCACCACCCAGAAGAAGAACGACGGCCAGATGACCAAGTTCTGCTTAAAGTTCTGGATCAAGATGAGGAGGATGGTGATGATGATGGGGCTCCACATGATGAAGAAGGAGACCATGAGCAGGAAGAGCGTGCGGAAGAGCCGGAAGTCCTGCTGGGACACTCGGATCTGGTGGCTCTCTGAGTACGCCAGGCTCATGGTGAGCCTCTTCCTGGACGCTTTCGTGATCTGCAGGAGAACAAGAGAACAGAGCCATCGCTTAGTGGGGGATGCCAAGGGTTTCTCATGCAGAGGGCCCGAGGGGCCCGAGGTGGCATCTGCAATCCTGACTGAGTTGGGGGCTGTCAGGCTTTGGGATTTTGTGGAGAGTGAACTCATTCTGGTACACTGTCCACACTCAGAGGCTGCTGGGAACAATGCAACGCCTGGCTGGCCTTCTGAGAGGTAAGGCGGCAAACAGTTGGCATTGCAAAATTTGCTGATGAGGTGCAGGTGAAAAGGCTTGAATTGAGTGGTCTAGAAAGAAAGGTGTGTGAACAGGTGCACTGTGCTGCCATAGTCCTTAGGAGATGAAAAACAAACACTTGTTTAACAAGGGCATGTACATACATTTTAAAAATAAAAGCAGGCTGTGCTCCCAATGCAAACTCAAACTACATGATGCTGAAAGGAATCTAATGGCAACATGGAAGAGTTGACCTTTTGTACCATCTCCACACCTGAGAAGTGATCCATGGACATAGTTTCCTTATGCTCATGTGGAGATGCTCCGTCCTCACACACACCTCCCTATGGGATCGCAGGCATCTGCTATTTTGCTTTGTGTGCAAATAAGGTCATTCATGCACCCCACTTTGCAGCTTGCTTCTTTCCCAGTTAACAGTAGCTCTTGGCTGGCTAGGTGAGCCTCAGCATCCTGGTACTGCCCTTTTGCCTAATTTTAATTGTCTATAAGCCACAGCCAGAGGGGAGAAGATTTGGCTGTCACCTTCCATTCCTTGAGTTTTTCTGGGGCCAAGGTGGACGTGGTGGTGGGAAGGGGCATGGCTGGGTGAGTGTGGGAGGACTAGTGTCAGGGATGGGGCCAGCGGGTAACCTGAGGCCATTTAGGCCTGTCTGGTGCCCAGCTAGCCTGAGATGTGATGGAGAATGAAACCAATTAGCCTGTTACCCCTAAGCCAGGGAAAAGACCCAGTCCAGATGGTCCGGACCACATTAGTGGTCCCTGTGAACTCCCACTCCCCTAGTCTGACCATCTGCCCCTCTGCTTCTCCTGGCCACAGAATGGGGTGTTTACATGGTTCAGAGACTCAGCCGCAGAGGAACCTCATCCTGAGTGCAGTGCTAGCCTTCCTGAGCCCATTCCCTTAAGAGTCCCAAACCTCAACAGGAGAAGCACTTAGGAGCTAATTAGCATCATTCACAAGCTGTGCAAATGTAGCTCCAAGATCAGGCAGGCTCAGAATACTCTCCTTGGAATATTTCAGACTAGCTAATTGCCGGACAGGATTCCCTGGGTAGTGCAAGTGGTTAGGACACTCAGCTCCACACCGCCAGGGGGGAGGACCAAGAGCATCTTAGAAGAAAGGTCTGAGGATCCAATAAAAAAAAAAAACCAGTCCTGGAAACCCCTCTGAAGCACAGTCTACCCCGACCCCAATGGGACCACCAGGAGTTAGAAATGATTCAACAATAACTAGCTAGCTGCATTGAAAGAGAGCCCTTTAATGGTCTTATGACTAAATTGTTTGAGTACATGTGTGCAGTGATTCAGCACCACCTCTTGGGGATGGGTAGGCATTCTGGTGGCACTGCGTGTGAGGCACTGGGCTACTAACCACAGGTCAGCAGTGCAAACCCACCAGGTAGCTCTACAGGAGAAAGATGAGGCTACCTGCTCCTGTGGAGATTTACAGTCTCAAAGTCCCTCGAAGGAGTTCTATTCCGTCGCACGAGGGTGAGTTAGAATCAGCAGACTGAACGGCAGTAGCTTGGGTTTAGGTCTAAGTGATGAACACAGGGCCGAGTGAACAAGCCCGTCCGCCCTACTGGAACAACTAGTACAAAACACTCCTGGACACAGCTAAGTTTCAGGGAGCACTCCCCCTGCACCAGGCGACATAGTTCTCTCATCAAGTGTCGCATTTCATCTCCACCACTACTCTCAGTCTCAACCCTTGTTCTTTCCACAAAGGAGGAATTAGTCGCGTAAGCAATTAGTTCGAGGTCCCTGCACGAATTAGAAATGGTCAAAGCTCCCATCCATACACATAGAGCTCAGCTGAGCTGAAGCAAAAAGGCTCCCAGGAGGTTGCCAGCCCTGTCGGTCCCCCCTCCCCACCAACACCGGCACGACGTTGGTATCTCAGGAGACAAGATCCACCATCTTGAGCTCATGCACCACTGGTGGTACAGCACATCCAAGCCTGGATGTCGCTGTGTAGCATGAAACTCAGACCTCACACTTGGAGGAAAACTGGTGTTATGGACTGAATTGTGCCCCTAGAAAAGTTGTGCTGAAGCCCTAAGCCCAGCATCTGTGAGCACGACTCAGTTGAGAAAGGAACTGTGAAGATGATTCAGCTAACCTGAGGTCTTCCTGGAGGAGGGTGGGTCTCAGGCCCATGGGTGCTGCGCTCTTATACAAGGGACACAGACTCTTCCCTGGAGGGAAGACGTCACGGAAGCACAGAGGCGGACGGGGGGTCATGATGCAGCTAGAAGCCCAGAATTGTCTGGAGCTGCCAGAAGCCAGGGGAGACAAGCAAGGACCTTCCTCTAGAACTATTAGGCACAGCCTGCGCCGGCCAACACTGGGAGTCGGACCTCTAGTCTCCACAAGAGGAACACAGTGCTGGCTGTTGTCAGCCACCTACTTTGAGGTAGTCCTGGGGCATTAAAATAGCTGCTTACTCTGAGGACGCAACCTTGGCCAAAGATCTGGGTGGCAGGCTAAGAAATGGCCCAGCTGGGCTTCACACGCTGGGTCATCCGACTCTAGCCGGGGCTCTCCCCACCCTCTGCTCTCCCTCTAACGGACATCCTCTCCCTAGCCTTGAACTTCAAGTCTAATGCCATGCATCACGAAGTCTTTCTGGCTCACTCCCTCTTGGCAGCCTGCCTCACTAGCCACATAGACCCCTGACCCCAGGAGACTGCAGGCTCCTGGGGGGCCAGGACCACCCATGGGGCCCGGCCTGACAGTGACTATAAGCAGACAGGCCGATGACAGGGGTGACTCATGGGCCAAGTGCATTCGTGTTGGGGCCTTTTTTTAGCACTGACAGACTCGGTCACAGTGGCTTCTGTCTCTCCACAGGTCCCACAACTTGTGTGGGGAGGGGGGTGAGAGAGGCGATGTCACTCAAATGGGACTGACTCTTCTCTTGTTCTCTGACCTGGGTGGCAAGATGAGTTAATAGTAATAAAAAGTAAAAGCACACGGCCCCGTGTGTGTGTGTGTGTGTGTGTGTGTGTGTGTGTGTGTGTGTGTGTGTGTGTGTAGAGCTGTCCTCCCTGTGGTACTTAATGGGTTGATATTTCCAGGAGGAGATTGCCAGACCTTTCTTCGGAGGAACCTCTTCGTGGCTGCCAACCTCCAACCTCCAGCCTTCTGGTAAGCAGTGAGAAGCATGAACAATTTGTGCACCACCACCACCACTCCCCAACCCCAGAGCCCCTATTAATGCTTATACAGGGTTTTAAACACCTCCGACTTTCCATTGGATGCGCTTTTTACCTTAAATGCTCAATTCACTTTTGAGCCTTAGCTTTAATCCTCAAGACAAGGCTACGGAACAGGTTCTGGCAAGCCCCCCACCCCCACCCTGTGTTTAAAATAAGGGGCAGCCCACGGCCCGCTCTGAGAGGGGAAGCTCTGGGCATCACATCTGCCTCACTGGAAAGAGCCAGTACAGCACTGTGCTCCTTGGAACACGGCCCATGACCACCCGCCTCAGGGTGGCTGCACCCCTCGCTAGGATGCAAACGCTTGAGAGCACCTTCAGATCCCCGATTCCTTAGTGGGACCCAGGAGAGCCCACGTTGTCAGTAAACCGTCCAGTCCAGCTGACTTGGGCTCACTGAGGCATGGCGACTACCATTCTAAGACAGCAGGCTTGGCAGCCTCTCCCCATCTCTCCCCACTCCCACTGGCGTCCTTTGAAGGAGAGTCTCTTTTGAAACTGTCTTGCTGAGACGAGCTGCCATGTGCGTTGCTGAAGCCTGAGTGTGACGGCGTCACACCCCTCTGCCCTGTCTTAGTTGCTCCCACTGACTGACAGGTAGATGCAGGTGTAGGATGTTCTCACTCACCCCACAGAGCTCTTCCCTAGTCTCTCTCTAGGAGCCATGGTGTTCTAGTGGTTACTCTCACGTTGGGCTGCTAACTGAAGGTCCACAGTTTGAAACCACCAGCCACTCCTAGAGAGAAAAATGAGGTTCTCTGCTCTCATAAAGAGTTACAACCTTGAGAACCCACAGGGGTGGTTCTACCTTGTCCTATAAGGTCTACAGGAGTCAGAACTGACACCCTATAGGGCCTACAGGAGTCAGAATTGATGCCTTGGCAGTAAGTTTGCCCTTGGGTGTCTCTCTGGGGACCACACGAGGCAGATCCTAGGGGTGGGTCTTCTCTGGGGGTTGCCTTCATGAGTCAGCAGCTCCCCGATTGGAAACATCAGGTAATAGACCTCCATCTTTCTAGAGAGCCCACATCCCTCCTCATCACTGACCAGCAGGCCCCAGAACTGGGGTGGGGGTGGGGGTGGGGGTGTGAGGGAAGGACCAGGCCAGGAGGCAAGGAGAAAGGACTGCACCTGGGCTCTTTAACTCATTCACGGTTTCTCTGCCAAGCCCTACGACAGGCTGATCGTTATCCTACTTCAAGCGATGGCTCATTCATTCATGCGGCAAATGTTTATTGAGAACCTACTGTGTGCTACGCACTCAGAGACAAGCTGGATAAGCAGCAGTCAGCAAGATGGTGGGGAGAGAAGCCCAGGCCACACCGCACTTCCATGGTAGCATGTTCGTGGGTATGGGAGGGGAAGCAGACACACACACACACACACACACACACACACACACACACACACACACACACACACTGTTACAAAGGGGAGAAGCACCACATCTTGTCCTGGCACTGGTTGCCGGGCAATTGTGCAAACGAAGCCCAAACAGCTGGAGCAAGGGCACCAGGGGAGTGGCTGGGAGGCAATTTCCCTGGGAAACTGTTGACTGGGAAAAGTCCACGCAGCTGAAAGGTATGGCTGAGTCACCGGGAAAGAGGAAGCAGGGAAGGCAGGAGGGTAAATGAGGTCGCAGCCTGAGCAACCCCAGAGGGGGCTGGGGGACAATTCAGGTGAAGCTCCCCACCAAGAGCTTTGGAAACCCCACTGAATCCTTGCCCAAGTCAGAGCCAGAAACCTGAGAGGGAGCTTGTGAGCTTTAGGGTTTCCCAAAGAGAGCTCCGTGCGTGGGGCACCGGTCCAGGGGCGGGGTCTTGGGGGAAAACAGGGCTGGCCAGCTACATCGGAAAAATTAGCCACTGGAAACCTTACTGGAGAGAAAGTGTGAGCTTTCTACTCCCGTGGACAGTCACAGTCTCAGAAACCTGCAGGGGCGCGCTCTGGGTCAGCACTGGCTCCAAAGCAGTGAGTTTGTTTGTTTGTTTGTTTGTTTGTTTGTTTGTTTGTTTGTTTGTTTGTGGAAAGCTTACTGTTGGCAGTTCCACTCCTGACACCACATTGGCTCGAGGACAACTGTGAAGTGTCGTAAGTGGTCAGATCTGGCCATCTCGCCCCCACCTGATTCCTGGCCCGCAGATCCCCAAGGCACGTCGTGTAAAAAAGGCTCAGCAGGGTCCTGCACCCCGGAAGCCCATTTACCGTTTCACTGAGCATTTCTCAAACGGATGGGATCCCCGAGCCCTCGGCCATCACTGGAGGCCTGGTGCGAAGAGTCCAGGGAAGGCTGTGCTCCAGAAACAGAAGGTCAGAGAGATTTGGAAGGGACCGGTGTCCCCGCCCCCCCACCCCCACCCCCTTGCAGAGGGGCCAAGGTTGGAGGCAGTAGAAACAATTGTGCCTTGAAGGCTGGCGGGGAAGGGGTGGCACTTTTAGTTGTGGTAGCTGAGTGGTTTCAAAAGTTCTCTGATTGCGATTTGTCTGTGAATACGGGCCTGGGGCCTGTGATGGGAACTGCGGAGCAGCTGGCTGTGGCTTTAGATGCAAAATGTTTGGGGAGTGATCAACGGCTGTCTAGAGGCAGGTGGATAAGCAAATACCTCCCCAAACTCCTCCGGGTTCTGGTTGTTTCTTTTCTAGAGTTCTTTTCCAGGTAGGACCTGGCCTGAGGTGGGGGCGGTGGGGGGTGGAAGGGGGAAGTGGGGGAGGGGAATGGGGTGAATGGAAAATTTTCTGTAGAATATTTCAGTCTTTCATTACCAGGTCATGGATTGGCGTGGGACAGGAATGAAGAGGGTAGACTAGAACCTTCTGGCCTTTGAGAGTGGGGGGCACAAGGGTGGGAGCACTGAGCAGGAGGTACCAAATGCTGCTCCAGGATTGGTTCCTAGTTCTTGAGGTGCGCCAAATCTGGGCCCCTCCTCTCTATCCTCTGACAAATCTCAGAGTCCCCGTTCCCAGTACCACGGGCTATCAGAGCCAGGACAGCTTTGCCTAACAAATGCCAACAGGCTACCTGGATTGAGCACCTGCTGGTGGCAGGCATCACATGATCGCCCCACCAGTGGTAGCTTTCATGTGCCCTCCAGCAACCCGGATCCTGTTGGCCATTTCGCAGAGAACACTGAGGTTCAGAGAGGTAGAGTCCCTTGTCCAAGACCACACAGGAAGTAAGTAGCAGATTCGGGGCTGACAGTGAGGCGACTGAAACAGTCCTTTCGGATCTTCTTCGCTTTTGCCGTTCACACCCTTGGCAGGCCCTCTCCTCAGTAATCCCTAACATTTGTGTAACCGGTTAACCATTTGCAAAATGTTTTCATGCAAAGTCTTGGCATCACCCCCTTCTCAGGGCAGGGTTTCACTCGATTGAATAACAGTGCCCTTGTCTGTGTCCCCACCCCTCTCTTCGGGTCAAAGTTCCTGCGAGGCTGTGCCTGTGATTTTCTCACTCCTGCCTCACCTCCCAGCCCTCACCAGCACATCGCACAGGGCAGACCCTTAACAAAGGTCCGAGCCACTAGTGATGGAAGTCTGGGGCCAGACTCTACATGTAACTCCAGACACCAGCTGCTTATGAGCTGCGTGATCTTGCAAATGGGTTAAGAGTTCTGTGGGTGGGTGTTCTCATCAATAAGTTTTATCAAGAGGAAGTGACTTACAAAAGAGAAAGAAGGGAACCAGAGAGTCAGGGGAGGAAACTGGTCTACTGGTCTTTACCAACTAGGGCCTTGTCTATTCTGAGAGCAGAAGAACTTGATGCTACCCAACTACCTCTGGCCCCATCTGCCCAGGGCCACCATAGATGGAGCCCGAAAGAAGAGGGTCGAGTGTAAAATAGAGCTCAAATCCTTAAAGAGTCCCAATCCACTGGGATCAGGGAGACTAGAGAATCCCCTGAGGCTATCTCTTTATAAAGCCCCCCCGAACACTGCCCACTGAAGTCACCTTTTAGTTAAATAACAGAATGGCTTATACGATACAGGACATCACCCATGAGGACTGTGCACTGCTAAAAGAAAATCCTCGGTCTGAGATCAGAAGGTCCATAATCACGCTAAAGCAAACAGGAGAGGCTGAGGGCACAGGGAGGGCAGATGCTGGAAAGAAGCATGCAGAATGGAATTGATGAGAATGTCGGTACGTTCTGAGAACCGTAACCCCATGTCACTGAACAACGAGTGTAGCGATTGTTAAATGGGAACTGCATATGCTCTGTACACTTCAGCAATAAAACTATTACAAACCCAATGGGGCTTTAAGTTTTGAACACTTGCATGGCATTGTCCTGTACACAGATGTTAACTCCAGGCCTGAATCTGCCTCTAGCAAGCCCCAGGCTGAGGCTCACAAATCATCTGGGGGTGCAGTAAGTTGGTAACCCCAAGATTGAAGGTTCAACACCACCAGTTGTTCCTTGGGAGAAAGATGAGGCTTTCGGCTTTGTGAAAATTCACAGCCTTAGAAAGCTACCCCAACTCTTCCCCATAGGGTTACTGTGAGTAAGAATTGACTCATTAGCAAGGAGTGAGTCATCCAGTGGGAAAGAGTTTAGGGAATAACACAGGAGTTGTCTCACCACAAGCATTAGCAGACCTGGAGGGGGTTTGTCCTGTCCTGGGTTTCTGAGCATGGAAAAAGGCAGCGATCCTGAGTTATCAAGAAAGGACCATAAATTGTCCAGCCAGCCAGCAGGACCATCAGGGCACTGTCTCAGTATGTGCATTTGCCAGATGACCCAGAAGATGCTAGCAAACCAAGATTCCACAAGTGTAATCCTCCATCATTGGAAGGTTGTGCATGAAGCTGTCTAAAATGGGCTTCCATCTGGGAGCATGTTTGGTCTGAGGGGCCAGCACCATATAAGGTAAATGGCCTCCCTCAATAGGTGGGAAGCAAGCTAAGATTGTTTTTCCTTCTTCTTTTTGGTCTGTGTATACTTTTGTTTTGAAGGTAGAGCTCAGTTCTTGTTTCAGTAGACATTTTAAATGTCCATCCCTTATAGGTGGAAGGCAACCGCTGAGAAGGCACAAGAGAAGTTTCTGGGCTGTCAGGTCCGTTTTTCTCTATATATAAATTCAACTTCGATAATAATTTTTTCAACTGTACATTTAACATTATTCATCACGCGGTGTTGTTTGTGATGGGGTAACAATGGATACAACCCAAAGGTCCATATACTAAATCCTGGCACATCTAGGAACTGATTTGAACTGGAAAGGTACGCAGACATAGTGTTAAGTCAGAAAAGGACATTACAGTGCAGACAGTATTTCCACCTATTTGGAAAATAAACTTGACTGAACGGTGTAAAATAGTTGACATGTGACCATTTAACCTGAAATTTCATGTGACTTATCCCATCTGGAGTCTTGGCATAGTGGTTATAGGTTGAGATGCGATCCTCATGGTTGGCCGTTCAAAACCACCAGCAGCTCTGTGGGGGAATCAGATGGGCTTTCCACTCTCATAAGCAGTTACAGACTTGGAAGCCCACAGTGGGTCGCTATTAGTCATCAGCATTGACCAGAAAGCAGTGAATTTGGTGGGTTTTATTGTTTTTTTTATACGTGGATACAAAAACATATAGTGTGCACAAGGGGGCTTCAAAGGTTCGTGAGAAATTCTATTATCTTTTCATTCCATCTCCTCATGAACTTTTTGGAGGCCCCCAATATGTCTGTGTATTTATAAAAATAAACAGGCACCCATGTCCATAGTCAAGGAGCTAACATGGTGTTATACTTTTGTTTCCATAGGGAAATCTATTTGACTTCAGTTCTTTTGAATATATTTATTTATTTACACAGATGTATTTTTAAAGCTTGCAAAATATCCTTTGGATTGTTAACAACAGGGGTAAAGTAGACATTCAGTTTTGTATGTCTGTTATGGTTTTAATTTTTTTTTTAAATGAGCTTATGCTCTTTTAAGGAGCCCTGGTGAAGTGGTTATACATTGGGCTGCTAACCAACTGCAAGGTCAGCAGTTCAAAATCACCAGCCTCCCTGTGGCAGAAAGATAGGCTTTCTATCACCATAAAGAGTTCGTCTCAGAAACCCACAAGAAACAGCTCTATGCTGTCCCATAGGGTCACGATGACACAGAATTGATTCGACAGCAGACGGTTTTTCAGTTATGTCCTTTTAGTGAGCAAGGAAAATAACATTACCACAGAGCTAGAACTGGTTTTTTTGTTTGTTTGTTTTTGTTTTTATTTTTTCCTTTTAGTGCCAAACTCATTTTGCTCAGGGTGACAGAGGAGGTGGATCTGGTCAGTGAAGGAGATTGGACCAGCTGGAGTCATGTGACTTTGAAATCCTAAGTCTCCCTGACCCACCCAGAGCCTATATGTGCAGCCCAGCACCGGTGAGGAAAGCATACATACCTGTAAGATTTTGGTGTAACTGATGACAATGATTAGTCCCGGTACCAAGAAGTTCAAGGTGATAAAAGCCACATCCCAAGAGATTTCTCCTGCAACGTTGGGCCAAACCAGTGTACACACAGGAATTACCTAGTTACAAAAAGGGAAGAGGATATCATTTAAATGCTGGCTTCTCATTTGGCCTCAGCCCTACTTGAGCATTACAATATCACACAAATGTGGAACGAGGCATACATCCCAGAATCTCTTCCACAGCCCGCTGCAATCTCACTTAGAAACCACTTGCTATGACCCTCAGAACACGTGTGGGAGACAGATGGGGCATGATTAGCAAGTCCATCGCCAGGGGAGGCAAGTGAGCAGTGTTCTTGCCGCTTCCTGGGCTCAGCTGCAAACACCCTCTGAGCCTTCGCTTCCCAAACCTCTGTTTTACAGAGGAGGAAATGAACGCTTCGGAACATCTTCCTAAAACAAGAGTCTCAAACGCTAAATGCGGGGTCCTTTTCAACCACACAGCATCTCCTTCCAAAGAGCTAAGTGGTTGTAAAGGAGCGAGGATGGCGAGACTTTGTCTCACATACGTCGGTCATGTTATCAGGAGAGACCAGTCCCTGGAGAAGGACATCATGCTTGGTCAAGTGGAGGGGCAGCATAAAAGAGGAAGGTCCTCAATGACATGGACGGACACTGTGGTTGCAACCATGGGCCCAAATGTAACCACAATCGTGAGACTGGCTCAGAACCGGGCAGTGTTTCACCCTGGGGTACACAGGGCCCCAATGCATTGACTTGATGCTCTGAGTTGCTGTGAAACCGCTCAAAGGTGCCCAATGATAACAACAGAATCTACTGAGACTTGTTGGGGCCAAGCAAACGAGGAGGAATGCCGGTATCGCATTTGCACCTGGTTGGAGGGGGGGGCGGGCGGAGGGAGGAGATAGAAATGTCATTGCCTTTTCCTATCTTGTTAGATGGCCCCCAAATGGACCGGCCACTCCAAACACTCTTCTCCCCACCCTGACTGCTGCGCCTGACAGGAACATGTTTATGAACTCGTCATACAAGTGAGTGCTTTTTTTTGAAGTCAAAAGAAACTTACGACTCTCAAGGCTCTTCTGAATATTGAGTGACGTGCCCACTGCCCTTTAGAGACTCTTCCAGCTCTCCTGTCTACTCAGACCCCGTGTGCATAAATGACTATATCTGCAGACCCACCCTCATGCCTGAAGATTAGCGGACAACAGGTATTGACACGCGGGCTGCCAGCATCATTGAAAGAATGCTGGACATGACCCGGTCTCTAATTCCTGTACTGTCAGATGACCCCAGAGCAGTTCTCAAACGACCCCCTACGCCCACCCCCACGCTTTCCAAACGCCTTGCCAGAGTGTCAGCCAGGCAGCTGCTTCTCAAGATTGTGACAGGGGTCCTCAAACTTTTTAAACAGGGGGCCAATTCACTGTCCCTCAGACCCGTTGGAGGGCCAGACTATAATTTTAAAAAAAACAAAAAACTATGAACAAATTCCTATGCACACTGCCCATATCTTATTTTGAAGTGAAAAAACAAACGGGGCAAAAATATTTGGCGGGCCGGATAAATGTCCTTGGTGGGCCGCATGTGGCCCGCGGGCCGCAGTTTGAGGGCCCCTGGAAGAATGTGGCATGGTAGGTCTTCTCCCTACACTGGGGCCCCAAAGCAGCCTCCAAACAACGCGCCTGTGTGATCCCAGGATGGGAAAGACTGTGTGCGTGTACACGCGCATATATGCACACGCACACGAGCACAGATACAAGCCTGGGAGGGTACATGCCAGGAAGGTCACGGTTTCCGGGTGGGGCTCTTCTCTTGTTTCTATTCTTCCGGCTTCTCTGGATTTTCTAAATCGCCCAAGATGGGCCCATGTTATTTTTAGAATTTTCAAAGGCAATCCAAGTTAGCTTGTAAAGGAAACGACGTTCTAATACGAAATCAAAATCTCCATGGGAGCGGAACCAGAAGACAAGGAACCGTCTGAGGACGCCCTCCATCTTTGTAATTGGCGGCACTCACTCCAGGCGCCGAGTGGGGAAAGGAAGGCAGATAAGGGTTCCGAGCAGCAGCGCCCCAGCCAGGGACTCAGAGGCAGTGCGACTGGCCTGTGTGGCGTAAGTGACTGATTTACATGCTCTTTAGAACGCTTGATATGGTGTTGCTGATTTAATGGAGTGCCTACTCGCGTTAAAAAAAATAATGCTAGTAGGGAAAAACCAGGCACCGTGCCCACAGTCAGGGATGTGAGTTGGTGTTATAACTTTGTTTCCGTGGGAAAATCCGTTTGATTTAAGTGATTCAGACTCTAGATATTCCCACCCCCCTCGCCCACCCCAAGGTATTCCACGGTGTGTTAACAGGGGAGACAGGGACGTGTTTATAGTATCCTCTGTGCCTTTTCTGCATGTTTTCATTTGAAGAGCAAAAAGGGCCAGCCAGGCCTGTCTTGTGCCCTGAGCTTCCAAAAGTGGGGTTGGCAGTGTCAACAGCTGTCTTCTTTTAATTCATTTGCTCAATCGCCCATTTGTTTGAGAAGTAGCGGCTGAACCACGGCGAGGACGAAGGCTGTCTGCCACTATGGAGCCTGTCGGGAGGGAACAGAGACCTGAGTACAGCAACCCTGAAAGACAAAATACAGCTAACTGTGTCCAGAGGGCCCTGGTGGTGCAGTGGGTTAAGTTCTGGGCTGCAAACCACAGGGTCAGTGGTTCAAACCCACCAAGTGCTCTTAGGAGAAAGATGAGGCTGTCTGTTCCCTTTGAAGATTTACAGCCTCAGAAACCCTTGGGTTGGGTTGTGTTACTCTTGTAGGAAAGCTGATTACAAGGTCTTGTCGACCTCAGCTGGTGGCTTTGAACTGTCAATTTTTAGGTCAGCAGCTGAGCACTTATCCATCTTGCCACCAGGACTCCCAAATACAGGGCAGTCAGTTTGAAGGGGCCAAGGGAGTGGCAGGAAGTCACATGGGAATCTGAGAGGGTCTTCAGCCAGGGCAATGGGGAGACCAGTGCTCAGGAATTAGGACCCGAAGGCTTAACAGCTGGAGGTCCTGTGTGGTGATGAGTTCATCTGACTTGCATCTTCCCACCCATAGTGACCCATTTAAGGCCAGAGCAGACAGCCTCAGCTTTCCCTCTAGGAGTGACTGATGGGTTTGAACTGCTGACCTTTCAGCCAGGAGCCCAATCCCTCCTTGACAGTGCCACCAGCGCCTGAGCACTGCCAGAAACCTTAGTCCTGGCCTTTGTCTCTCACTCAGAAGGAACTCTAAGTGGCTCCATACCTTCACTGTCACTGGCCCACCTGTTCCCAGGCAGGCCATTTGTGGTAGTTACATAATCTGGTGTCAACTTGAGACTGAAGTGTGAAAGGGTGGAGTTTAGCTCGTCATTGATGCGGAGATAAATAGCTCGCTGGAGGTGGCCTACCCACTTACTCTCTGCGAAACATTCCTATTGACAAGACACATAGAGCTATGCTAGAGCCCTGGAGCTGGAGGAGTCACATAGAGACCCATGCCAGCACTAAGATGCCTCTAGCACCACTGGATCCACAAGACTTTCCACCCACTGGCTTGTGATTTTCCTGCATTTGGAGTCATTGCATGTGTTTTGTGAGTCTGAAGAGGACTTTATAGATTGGTATCAGACATATGGGCTAATATGGGACTTATGGACTTGATCTGGACTGGG